TTTTTTTTTTTTAACATATTTTTTTAATCTCCCTTTCCTTTCTTCTTCTTAGATTGCCTTAATGATGCCCATTGGGTGTTTAGGACACATGAGACTCGCATATGTTGCTTGGATGTGGATTGTGGGGTAAAACGGTTATTTTAAGTTTTTTTAAAAAGGGGAAATTAAATATCAATAATAAATTCTATCGTGTGCTTCTCGTGCGATAGATGCATGGTTTAATTTGAACCCTCTTATTCTCGTACCTGTTCATAGATTTCATTCCGTTGTGGGACTTTCCGTCAATGAGGATGTCACGTTGAATGCCACCATGAGTCCAGTGGCGCTTGCATGTCCGACAGTAATACCTTGGGTTGATTCATGTTGTAGTTGTTAAAATAAACTAATTGGTGTCGTTGGAATGGCAACGAGGACATTGTCTTGGTGGAGGACGAGAGCCAAGGTACTCCATCGTTCTCAACATCCTAACCGGCGGTAGTGTCGAATGATAATCACCAACTCCGTTGTCTTGTTCCATCACTCTCAAGCTAATTTAATTTGCAATTGGAATATAATGAATTGAAAAACTCTACATAACTACAGCCATTTTATACGGAATAAACTCAGCAATAAATGGTAAACAGATTGTAATCTACGCGCAATTGAGAAAATATGCGTAATAAAATTAATTGTTATCCATCTTCATGACAACTTTCATTTTTGCATGGCACTAGCCCCATAGACTTCCTACTCCATTAACTCACCCCACTCCCGATCCACCTTTCTTCCCTTTTTCTTTTTTCTTTTTTACATATTTTTTTAATCTCCCTTTCCTTTCTTCTTCTTAGATTGCCTTGATGATGCCCATTGGGTGTTTAGGACACATGAGACTCGCCTTTGTTGCTAGGATGTGGATTGTGGGGTAAAACGGTTATTTTAAGTTTTTTTTTTTAAAAAAAGGGGAAATTGAATATCAACAATAAATTCTATCGTGTGCTTCCCGTGCGCTTCTCGTGTGATAGATGCATGGTTTAATTTGAACCCTCTTATTCTCGTACCTGTTCATATATTTCATTCCCTTGTGGGACTTTCCGTCAATGGGGATGTCACGTTGAATGCCACCATGAGTCCAATGGCGCTTGCATGTCCGACAGTAATACCTTGGTTGATTCATGTTGTAGTTGTTAAAATAAACAAATTTGGTGTCGTTGGAATGGCAACGAGGACATTGTCTTGGTGGAGGAGGAGAGCCAAGGTACTCCATCGTTCTCAACCTCCTAACCGGCAGTAGTGGTGGATGATAATCATCAACTCCGTTGCCTTGTTCCATCACTCTCAAGCTAATTTAATTTGCAATTGGAATATAATGAATTGAAAAACTCTACATAACTACAGCCATTTTATACGGAATAAACTCAGCAATAAATGGTAAACAGATTGTAATCTACGCGCAATTTAAAAAAATATGCGTAATAAAATTAACTGTTATCCATCTTCATGACAACTTTCATTTTTGCATGCCACTAGCCCCATAGGCTTCCTACTCCATTAACTCACCCCACTCCCGATCCACCTTTCATCCCTTTTTCTTTTTCTTTTTTTTTTTTTACATATTTTTTTAATCTCCCTTTCCTTTCTTCTTCTTAGATTGCCTTGATGATGCCCATTGAGTGTTTAGGATACATGAGACTCGCCTTTGTTGCTAGGATGTGGATTGTGGGGTAAAACGTTTATTTTAAGTTTTTTTTTTTAAAAAAAGAAAAATTGAAGATCAACAATAAATTCTATCGTGTGCTTCCCGTGCGCTTCTCGTGCGATAGATGCATGGTTTAATTTGAACCCTCTTATTCTCGTACCTGTTCATAGATTTCATTCCCTTGTGGGACTTTCCGTCAATGAGGATGTCACGTTGAATGCCACCATGAGTCCAGTGACGCTTGCATGCCCGACAGTAATACCTTGGTTGATTCATGTTGTAGTTGTTAAAATAAAAAAAATTTGGTGTTGTTGGAATGGCAACGAGGACATTGTCTTGGTGGAGGAGGAGAGTCAAGGTACTCCATCGTTCTCAACCTCCTAACCATCGGTAGTGGCGGGTGATAATCACCAACTCCGTTGCCTTGTTCCATCACTCTCAAGCTAATTTAATTTGCAATTGGAATATAATGAATTGAAAAACTCTACATAACTACAACCATTTTATAGGGAATAAACTCAGCAATAAATGGTAAACAAATTGTAATCTACGCGCAATTGAGAAAATATGCGTAATAAAATTAATTATTATCCATCTTCATGACAACTTTCATTTTTCTTCAATGTATATTACGAATATAATTTCAATTTCCTCAATCCAAATTTAATATAGTAATTAATGTTCATTTCATTGTAATTTCAAACTCCCCAATTAATGTGTGTAGTGTTCAGCCCATTAGTTTTGTATTCTGTTTGAGCCTTGTTTTGTGTGTTGAGTGCTTTTCATTTGTGTGCTAGACCATTTGGTTGTGCATCTTTTGATCCAAGACTTCTCGTATTTGTTCCTTGCTTCCACATCAATCAAGTTTAATCAAATGACCTTCATCCGCTAACTTGGCGTATAACCCGCATAGTCCAGTCATCCACAACCTCGGTTGCATGCCACTTGCCCCATAGGCTTCCTGTTCCATTAACTCGCCCCACTCCCGGTCCACCTTTCTTCCCGTTTTTCTTTTTTTACATATTTCTTTAATCGCCCTTTCCTTTCTAGCTTCTTCTTAAATTGCCTTGATGATGCCCATTAGATGTTTAGGACACATGAGACTCGCCTTTTGAGCTAGGGGCGGTTATTTTGTTAATTGTATATATATATATATATATATATATATATATATATAAAATACAATCTCAGCTCTGTCTCCGGCGGAGAATTTAAAATTGTCCCCATCTCATCTTTGATCTCCTGTTTTTGTCGTCATTTCTGTTCAAGTAGGGACAAAGAATCGGGTTCTCCGTCAAGTGTCGGTATAATTGACATCCCTAAATATATAATTTATATACTATAACCGCCGTATAGACTTTTTTTTTTTTTTTTTTTTTAAAAAAAATTTTAATTTTTTTTAGTATAGTTTAATTTAGGGCTTTTGAAATTCCCGCATCATTACGTTCAGCTTCAGCCCTTGTCGCCGCTTGTCGCACAGCCTCCTTGTCGCCGTCTTCAGCCCTTGTCAGCCCAGCCTCCCTCGTCGCCGTCTTCAGCCCAACGGCCACAACTGCTCGCCTTCAGCCCAGCGGCGGCCGCGTCGGAGCTCAGCTCTTGTCGCCGCGGCAGCGACAGCAGAGATAGCGGCAGTCACACAGCACGTACGGTAAAGTTTTTTTTTTTTCCCCTAGTTTTGTGTGTTGTATGCCAGAATGCGTTTTACTTGATTGCTCCTCCGGTCATTATGAATTCTCACTTCCATCTTACATGTGAGCTCGATTTTATCTTCCTTTTAGATTAAGATGGAGTTACTGAAATTCTAAATATTTAGTGCCAATTCTGTTTTCCGTGTTAGACTGCCATTATATTTCTACTGTTTCTGCTGTGCTTATGAAGATGAACTGATTCTACATTTCGCGGGTTTGTTTATGGCTATAGAGCTCTGTTTTGGATAAATCTTTTTCCTTCACAAAACATACTAAATAAACAAACAGTATGAACTTTATGGTCTTCAAAATTCACAAGTCATAGCCATACTGCTTACTGCCAATCTGCTTATCTGCCATAGTTCATTAGGAAAAAAAAAAAAGAAGCATGCTTCCACATACTGCCAATCTATGATTAAAAAATAAACTAAGTGTGTACTTAATTCAATAAACTAAATTACTTAAACATATTCGTATGAAGTTATGAACTAACACAGTAAGTTAGTAATACTAAGACAGAATCAAAGATACAACACAGTTTATTTCAATAAACTAATTATTTCAATAGGGCAATAGGCAGTGAAACTTTGGAGGCATATTCAAGAGGAATCTTGGCTAAGTAATATGTGAACATAGTAATTTGAATGTTCTGTGACTTTGATACTTTGCCATTTTGTTTATTAGGGATAGACCGATAGTGAGAGGCGGGGTTAGAAGATGATGACACAGATGATCGATTAGAAGATATGATTCGTGATGTTGGAGAGGAGTTAATTAATCGATCAGAAGAGTTGAATAGCTTATCAAGTGATGCAGAGAAACCTTTGTGGCCGGGGTGTAGTAAATATACACGGTTATCAGTTGTGTTAAAACTATTCAACTTAAAAGCTGTGAATGGGTGGAGCGATAAGGGTTTTACGGCCTTACTTGAGATTTTAACAGATATGTTCCCGGAAGGTAATGAATTAGGAAGTCTTTTTTTTTTTTTTTGTGTGTGTGTGTGTGTGTGTGTGTGTGTGTGTGTGTGTGTGTGTGTGTGTGTGTGATTTCAGGTGCTGTTCATATCAGTGCTCTCACATGTGCCCATTATCATCAATCCATAATTTTGAGTTCGAAATCTATCTAAACAAGTTTACAATTAGGGAACAGTTCCTATATGATTTCCTTTTGAAGCGTAAATATAAAATAAACTACACGAGATGAGATTTTCATTTGTCTAATTATGTTTACTATTGTCTTTGGCATATTTTTGTGTTTGCATAGAAATCATCAAATGTTCAAATTCATACATTTCTGTTATGATTGACTTGACTGGTTTTGGTAGAATTGTAGATTTGTCCTTGTGATAAATATTTGATATTAAATGAAGGCATTGGAAGTGTTATTTAGAACCAGAATGCTATGTTTTGAGTTGCCTGCCATGAATTTTCTCTAGTAGTGATTTGAAATTCTGTATGCATGTATTTTGACAGGTGAATTAGAAGATGAAGATTTTTAAGTTTTGGTAGAGTTGTATGCTTCTCCATTTGACGCTGAAATTATATTGGTTGAAGGGTTCTATGGTGGTGTGATGATTTAGTGTTTTGATTGGCGTTCAATATCAACCCCCCCCCCCCCCCCCCCCCCCACCCCCCCCCCCCCCCTATGTATAAAGTTGGCCTATAGATTAACAAATATCAATAGGTTCACCTTCGTGGTTTGCCCTATATAATATCACCCCTCCCATAAGTTAGTGTACCGGCAACCTCACCTTCATTCTCTGCCTTCCGATATCCCTCCATTCCCTGACAGCACAATCCCAGATCGCAGTCCATCTCAATTTAGCATTAAATTCATGAATTTTGGAACCAAGCAAATCTTCTCTGTCCTGACATATCAACTTAAGCACTACACTCACCTTCTACAACACCACCGAACCATAGTTAAAGTCCGTTTGAAATGGGTGAAAAACCGAGGCCTAGATCACATCATTGATGTCCAAACAGACCTCAAAGCTGCTTGCCTTCTCAAGGATGCTATCATACGCTCCCCCACAGGCTACCTTACCTCCAAGTCCCTTTCTGACTCCCAAAAACTCCTTGGTCTTACTGTCCCTACCCTCCGGTTCATCCGCCGATTCCCCACACTCTTTGAGGAGTTCCCACATCCCAAGTATCCATCTTTGCCATGTTTTAAGCTTACCCACATTGCAAAAGTCCTTCATGATCAAGAACTGAAGGTGTTTGATGATTATCAGAGTGATTTGATGGAAAGGCTATCCAAGGTCCTCATGATGACCAAAAACAGAATGGTAAAGTACCTTTTGAATGCTTTCTCAAACTTGTTTTAATCATTGCAAGGAAATTTTGCATTTTTTTTTTTTTTTTTTTTTTTTTTTTTGCTTTTTGCATATCTATATAAATGTGCTTGACATATTTGAAATTATTTTGCTTGTTGGGCTCCTTAGGCAATACCACAATAACACAGACAAACATTGTTAAGTCTAGGTATGATTTTGTTTTAAGATCTGTTTAGCTGATGAGAATATGCACTGCGATGCAGAAGAATGGCTTTAAGCTGAAAGCTAGGACTTTTGGAGGGTACAAATCTGACTTAGGTATGAAGGGCAAGAGAGAATACTTGGCTATTTTCTAGTGTTATTAAATTTAAGACTTTCCTAACAAGCAATCTGAACTTTACATGTTTTGCAACTTGTATGATTTTGTTGTACCATTCGGCTCGTGCTTATTCTGCACCTTTTTTTTCATAATTTTTTTATTAAAAAATTTAATGTAGGTACCTCTGCAAGCTCTGCATTCGTTGAAATGGGATTTAGGATTGCCTGATGATTTTGACAGGAACTTTATTAAAAAGTTCCCAGATGATTTCATGGTTGTTAGAGGCACAAATGGTTTACCATGTTTAAAACTTGTCAAATGGCGGGAAGATTTTGCCATCTCTGAGTTGCAAAAGATGAACGAGAAGGGTGAGTCTGTTGATGACAATAATATTGGCAGTAGCAATACTTCTGTGTACAGGCAATTTAGAAGTGGGAAATCAGCATTGGTATTTCCCATGAGTTTCCCCAGGGGTTATGGTGCACAAAATAAGGTAAAGGCCTGGATGGAGGAGTTTCAGAAACTGCCCTATATTTCGCCCTATGAAGATTCGAGGGGAATAGATCCCGATAGTGATCTTATGGAAAAGAGGGTAGTTGGTGTGCTACATGAAATTTTGAGCTTGACACTATACAAAAAAACGAAGAGAAATTATCTAAGGAGCCTCAGGGAAGAAATGAATCTTCCACATAGATTTACACGTATATTTACGAGATATCCTGGGATATTTTACCTCTCATTGAAGTGTAAAACAACAACTGTGGCATTGAGGGAGGGGTACCGTCGTGGGAGACTAGCAAATCCACACCCTCTTACTCGCCACAGGGATAAGTTTCATCATGTAATGAGGACTGGGTTAATCTATCGAAGTAAAGGAGTGGACATTTTGCCTCAGCTAGACAATTTGATCGATGATGCAGGAGAGGATATCGGAGAAGGAGACACTGATGAAGAAGAAATTGGCACAAGTGATGAATGTTATGAAGATGGAAGTTCAGAGGATGATTGTGGTTCAGATGAAGACTAGCTTCAAGCCTTCAATGCTGTCTTGGTAATTAAAGTCTTTTCTTTTCAATATGGGATTGACTTTTTACCATGGTAGTTTCTTTTTTTCTTTTTATTTTTAGGTGATGAGAGAAACGTGTAGCCGCTATTTGAGGGTATGCACGGGATAAACCCCGCCTTGTAACCCTAGCTGGCAAAGCCATGGTAGTTTCTTGATTTATGCAATTGTAGTGTCTTAACAATATATTAAGTGGGTTAGATATATTAGTGACACCATGAAATGCTTCATTGAATGTGCTAAAGCTAGGATATCCTCTTGGTAGGTCTCTTGTCAACTTTAAAGTGATTGTTTTGAAATAAATGATCAAATAAAATAGTAGTTATACATATACATACACATACTAGATACATCATACAAAGAGGGACAAGCAGTCACTTGTGGGAAAAAACCTAAGTTATTTGGTGAAAACTAAATACCTTTGTGTGTTTTGGATGTGGTCCACACAGCTATGTGGATGATGGTCTACACAATAATTTGTCATGAAATGAACTATTAAAATATAGTTTATAGACCACAAACACCATTTTCTCTTAAAATTTTGTAACTACATTAATTTTAATTCATCAATTAAAATAATTAATACTTCTAATAAATAAAATATTATCCTTTAGCATATGAGACCATTAAAAAAATAAAGTAGAGCAATAATGCATGCGAGTAGGAGTAGCAAAGGGTGTGGGGGATTGGCGTCGTTACTCCCAAGTGAAGACAAGCTTAGGGGAAAATTAAAGCAACGGAGCGTGACGCCGTTGACCGCATGCGTGAACGGTCAGACTGAAAGCCACGATTCACCACTCTCCTCTTGAAACGTGTGCACTAATGCCCATTCCTTCTTCTCCAACCCCTCAGGGAATGTTTGGCTTTTTTGAGCCCGCATGAACAGCTCGATTGGTTATAGGAGTAAAATTTGGGAAGAATAATCCGTGATTGAGTCTTACTAGCGGTAGTGTAGAAACAACATCTTAAAGTGAGGAGCTCCTTGTGAGTAAGCAAATGTTAGTCTCTGTGTTTAGCTGAGTTACCATGATTTACATCCTTCCAGATACTTTGTTGGCCTGAAGATTGGAGGGCCCTTGGAATTGGGAATTCAACCTTTTGGGAAGAATGTTTGGTTCGTTGGAAAATGTTTTCCTTGAATTTGAGGAAAATTGACGTTTTCTTTATTTGGTTTATGAAAAATATTTTTCATTGGAAAACATTTTCTACATCCTCGGTATTTTGTTTACCATGGAAAAAAGTAGGACAATTATGTCCTCACTAACTTTTCTTAATTATCATTATTATTATTTTTGTTATTATTGTGTATGTGTATAATTGTCTCTATACTCATTATTTTTTACAATTCCAAACCCAACTAAATAATGAAACCATTTTTCTGGAATTTATTTTCCATGGAATTTCATTTCCATTTCCCTTCAATATTTTCCAGTAAACCAAATGCGTTGTCAGTATACCTAAATCCATGAGACCGTGGTTCGATTTCAGTTCTAAATGGGCAGTTCACAGTTCTGAGAAATGATAAATTAGAATTGGTGGTTATGGTTTGAACCGTCAATTTGATTTTTTTTTCTTTTTTTTTTTTTTTTTTGAAACCTTTATTCTCTATTCCCACTAATTTAGTCCAGATTTTAATTTTTTTTTTTTCCAATTCGGAATTGAAACCAATCAGTTACTACATTTCGAGACCGAAACTGAAATTTACGCACATTTCAAATCGGTTGCTACATATCTGATTCGGTTCGAACCGAATTGTAATCATCGCTATGTGTTAGGGACGGCAACAGGGCGGGGCGGGGCGGGGAGTATACTCCCCATCCCCATCCCCGTCGAAATATTCCTAGTCAAAATACTAAATAATTGTAATTTTTAATAAGAAAAAAATTTAAAATCTAAATCTTAGTTTCAAAAATTAAAATACTAAGTCTACAAATAAATAAATAAATAAATAAATAAATAAATATATATATATATATATATATATATATATATAATATAGATTTATATTGCCTGTATATATAGTACAATACAATAGTGCATACTGCCACTTATATATTCACTGTTGTATTGTACTATATATACAGGCAATATATATATATATATATATATATATATATATATATATATATATATATATATATATATATATAATTAATCGGGGACGGGATGGGGTCCCCGACGGAAAATCACTGTCTCCGTCCCCGTTCTCCGAAAATTTTCCCCATTCCTGTCTCCATCGGAGTGGGGATCGAGGATTCCTGTCGAGGACGGGACACATTGCCATCCCTATTATGCGTGCACACAAATACATACATTTCTTTAGTCTCTTTCTCCTCCAACACAGCACAAAAAAACCCTCCAAAAACCTCCACACTCTAATTAAAATTAGAATAATTAGAGAATTCTAATAATATAATTTTTATTTAACTTTTTAAATGAATTTTTTTGTGGATGTATTGCTTTAATTGTAATTTAATTATTATTTAAATAATTCTTGTGGAAAGTGATTTTGAACCCAACTTTAAAAGATATAGATGTAAGAATAAAAGAAGGAATTAGAGATATAACAAACAAACTCACTAGTGTCACACCAACTACCCTTTCTTTTCTGTCTCTATATTTGTTGGTGGATTGCTGGTTGGTACTTTGTTGTGAAAATGAAAGGAAAAGAAAAAATGATTTATTTTAAAAAAAAAAAACTAAAAAAGGCATCTCTCTTTATAATTATATATATAATTAGGATCAAATAAGAACACGTGAACTTATGTATCATTGTGGACTTTTGATCTTACTCGATCTTCTGATTTATAATGATTTTGACATAGTAAATATACATCACTGCACCACTGCACAACTGCATCGAATTAGACCCTTAAACTCGTTAAATTTGTTCAATTAATCTTTTTAACAGGTTACCAAAATGTAACTTGTCAACTTTACTTACATGACATCTTACGTTGAATCTTATTTAAAAATAAATAAATTATATTTTATAAAAACTATTTAAAAAAAAAACTTTTCGGCGCGGTGCTTCTCCCTGATTTGATAGAGAAGCTCGGGCTTCTTTGTCAAGCTTCTTCGTGCTTGACAGCTTAGTTGCCATGGTAGGCTTCTCTGTCCAAAGATTGGATGGAGAAGCTTGCCAAGTTTCTTCGTCCATGGCACTAAGCTGTGATGGACGATTGGCAGCTCGGTTGCCATGGTTTTTTTAAAAAATTAATTTTTTTATAAATAAATATTATTATTTTAATTTATATATATATATATATATATATATATATATATATATATATATATATATATATATATTAACAAGTCAAATTGTGATGATTACACTTTTTTCTAAGTTCATGTATTTAATTGAAATTTTTTATGATTTAAAGGTTTAATTGAAATTATGAATAGTTCAAGGATTTATTCGACACTTTTTCCTATGTTATATTATTTAATTTATTTATTACTAGATGCACTCTAAAGACAAATCATAACTACTACATTCTTAAGTAAAGTTCTAAACAAAATTTTAAAAAAATCCAACCAAATTCATTATGATGAAGTTTTTGAAACACTTGCTATAATATAATATGTTTAAATATAATGATTAAAGAGTGATTGAAAGAAGTGATAGATTTGTGTTGCAAAATTTGTCAAACACAAATGAAGGAAAATATATATGTTGGTGATTATTTCCAACCAATTAAGAAATGGTGAAAATTTTAATTTAGACATAGAGGTATGTTATTAGGGATAGTCTCATTCCTAATTATTTTTAATTTGGGCAATGGGGGTAGGCAAGATGAGGCCATTATGATTGAAGGGATGACAATCAGAGGATCTTTTCAATGGACAACAGGATCTAGCAAGTGGGACCACAATCACTGTGAGCCCCCAACACAAAACATCACCATATATGCACCATTCTTGTGGAAGTCACAGGTCTAGGAAACAATTCCATGTCAAAACAATAAACAATTTGGGTTTACTTCACAAATTAATTACAAACACTCATGTCCATCTCCTAGGCCCCTTGATTAGGATTTGTATACTCCAACTACCATACTATTCTCACTTCACTGCAGATTATATATATATAGGCTAATATTCAAGTAAATCCACTTGTTCTCATGAGAATATTCATAAATGCACACAAGCTATTACACGAATGTACACAAGATAGCTTGTGTGCATTCATTGTGGGCGAATTGCATACAATCTAGTCTGAGTGCATTCGTGTAGTAGCTTGTATCTTGGATCAATCTCAGCCGCCCAAATTCATTAATCCTATGGTCCCATTTTGTCCACACATTTGTATTTTAAGGGTGTTTACATGAGAATGCAAGCCTACATGAATGGACGGTAAGTACTACATGAATGCACAATAACTACTCCAACTCTGCAGCTATTACACGTATGCACTGCACCTATTACATGAATATGCCGAAACTACTACATGAATGCACAAAAAATACTACACAGATGCACCACACACACCCGCACGTGTCCTCTGAACATACTTAGAGTAGTATTGTGCATTCATTTAGAACCTACCGTGCATTTCTTCATAAGTTCACAAGTTTGCCTGGAAGTTTGGTTCGCATTTGAGAGCATCTCTGTCTCTCTCTCTCTCTCTCTCTATATATATATATATATATATATATATATATATATATATATATATATATATGCCAAACTAACAAAACTTTGTACCATAAAAAAATAATACATCAATTATGTTCATATAAAAAACAAAAATACAACAATGTAGTTTTTCAGGTTTTCTTCAACTAAAATCGAAATGATTACAAATAATTATATTTTTAGAAGAACTGAAGAAGATCAATGTTGTTCAACCTGTAAACATCTCATGTGCAAGTTTGTCTCTCCATTTAGTCCAACCAAGATTAGTGTCACAATGACTGATCAAGTTGTTGTCGTCGTCGTCATCATCATGTTGGAAATTATTGCACTCATTGACCAACCTCAATCTCTATAGGATGAATTGTTATTTCAGACCTAATGAAATTGTGAAAAATGCAACAAGCAAATATGATTCTACATTGAATTTTAACTAGATAAATTGACTTGTTTCTTAAGATAGCTCATCTGCCTTTAATATGTCTAGGCACCTCTTAATGCAATTTCTTGCTTGAGAATGTTTCATGTTGAAATATTCCTTGACCGTTACAAGTTGATAGCCTTGGCTCCATTCATTGAAGTGGTATCGTTAACCTCTATATGGTGCCAAAATTCATTACTAATTGTATATCCAACATCCCACAAATAATAATTTCATATACATATTCCAATTTAAGATTTTTTTTTTTTTAATTCCT